TGACGTTTATTTACAACATGTAGCGCAATTATATCCATGTTAAATACCATTTGATAATTACTTTATAATGTTTTTCATTTATCAATTCCTTTTTTATATCACGGTAGTGGGTATATTCATGCTACTCGTGAGTAGTATATTTTTATTAAGGAAAATTCGTGGGGGGCGAGAGTGATGGATGGTAACGTGAGTCCAAAGCAGGTGGTTCAATAAGACCTACAATCTTGACTGAGCCACGCCAACGGTGCCTTACTGCTATATCGTCTATATGAGTTAGCGTTCCAGTTGAATTTGAGCACCACGCTGCTGTCCGTTGAGAGTTGTGTCGGAATTTGATGCTGGATAGGAACAGATGATCTGCGCCGAACTGAAGAAGTCGATCGCCATTATCGGTTCGCTGACAGGGCAGAGCACAATGACCGCCTAGGTAAGCTTCCGATGCGTTGTTTTCCAACTTGTGCGTTAATATCACCTGGGAGAACATCTATATCAGAACTGTCAGGAAGGTTAAATTCCAAAAAAATCCGAAAAAATTCGAAAAAGTTATATGTTTGGCAAGAATAGACAAAAGACAAAAGTGGCAGCTGGGTGAGCCTCCGGCCCGAAATGATCGATCACTGTATTTCACCAAGGACGGTACGACGTTTCTGATTGTTCAATTGATATCGAACGTTCAGAACGCACCGTACGCAATAGAAAAGAACGAATGCTAACGCGTAAGGACGACAAAAAATGAAAACACTTTTTCTCCAATATACTGTCCTGTGCCATTTTGATTGTGTTCTTTTCTTCGGTTCGGAAGTTGGTGGTGCGATAGAAGTCTCAGCAACAGTCAGTACACAAAAGAAACTTCGGCTCAACCGAATGAGTTCGGTGAGTTTATCATAAAACTCGTCCTTTTGTGCGTCAGAACTGTAGTTGGTCGGTGCATATGTTGAAATGACGAATAAACACCTCTTGATGTTGCTTTCCTTCCGGACGCTCATAGACCCCTGGAGCCACATTGCACATCAGCGGCTGCTGACGGGGATCCAATCGAGTAGTGCGGCTGCGGTTATATTATTCAGTACAATGCCCACACCACGTTGGCATACTGAACGGGCTTCATCATCACCTGACGTGCGGAAGAACCTCGAAGACAATCCGGGTTCTGTTAGGTGGCATATAGTATTAGGATCCTGGATTCGAGTCTCCGACACGCAGCATACATCCATTCCTAAAGATTTCATTGTACGCACCAGACACGCTTGTTGACCTACCTGCATCAGAGTCCTCACGTTGAAGGCCCCCAAATTCAGTGGCTGACGAGGCTTCAGAACCTGCAATATTTCTTGTGGTAAACTAATTACTGGACTACTTGGCAAAGAACTTTGGCGAGTGACGAACAAGTTGTCCGAGGGAATGTTACGGGTTGGACGAAGGGGTAAAGGGAGAGAGTTGGGTACGGAAGACAAAGAGTTAATCAAAGGTTGGGATATCTTAGCAGTAGCCCATTTATCAGTACCCACCCGGCTCGATGCAATGGGCAGCGCGGTCCTGATTAACCTGCGCGACGACCGATGCAGTATGGAATTATTTTTACTTTGTGTATGCANTTTTTTCTTTGTGCATGCATTTGAATTTGATGGACGGGTACTGCCAGAGTGTCCAGCCAATAAGCAGGAGACTGGTTAGGGTTCTCGTCCAAAGCCTTTAGTTCTGACAAGAACCTGACCGCAAGGCACCGGGTAAAGCGAAATAGAGGTCCATTTACTTGGATCAATCACTCCTCCACCGCTTTTTATCGACTGAAACGCCAAATTCCAGGCGAACCGCCCACCTGGAGGACCAGGAGACTAGACTTTGTCTGATCTCTACCCACTGACCTTCCAGGCATGATTAGATCTGTGGCTTGACAAAAGCCATCCCGTATAGCTCGTTGGGTTAGAGAGGTGCACAAGCCACCACACCACGTCGAGGTACAGTCTCGTCCTGATGGACCCTAATATCTTACCGTTTTCAGTCGATCAAATGAACCTCAAAAATGAACAGAATTCAAAAGCGAACAATTGGTTGTATTTGGGTTACATTTATCATTCACTGGTTGTCAACCAAAAATGACCAACTTACAACAATACGGGTATCTATTGTAAGTTTGTAAATCTTGTTTGATTCAACAAGCACCGAATCTGATTTGCAATTTACCCTCATATGATCTCTGAGGAGGGGCGAAATGCAAGAAATCTGGGCAGCGATGAAATCAAAGTATAGTCCTGAATTTATTCAGAATATACATTCATAAATGCTAGTATAAATTGCGGTAATTACGAGTAATTTCAAGTCAAAATAATAATACGACAGACATTTTAGGCGGTTTTCAACTTTAACGTTTCACTCGATGAACGACATTTAGGAAACCAGTGGATAAACTGATATCAAAGAGTAACTCACGGTTTTAGATGGCATTATTGAGAAGAAATTATCGATGCGTCCTTGAGTGGTTGTATTCTTCGCCTTTAGTAACTTTTTCGCTCCGTTGCGGATCCGCTCTTCACTAAAATCAGAATGAACGAGTGGTAAACGTTCGCAAACCGAGATACAGAAAGTTGTGACTTTGTTCATCATACTACTCAGAATTAGCTAGAATCAACAGAGAGGATTGGGGAGCTTCGTTCAATAAGACAAATTCTCAAAAATGGTCATAAATTCTAAATGGCACTGAATACATCTTGATAGTGATTGAAAATATTCCGCGCAATGAGCCCGTTGCGCTTTGTTTAAATTTCGATAGAATATCGTAAGAGGAAAACGGATTTCACCGGATTCCCAATTTGGTCGAAAGAAAATCACATCCCGAATGCAAACTTCAGTCGAACGATTCATACTGGAATTATTAAATCAACGCACCTGAACGGTCTCGCAACGTGTCTGGCTTGCACAAACATTAGTTACTGGATATGAGTGAAAATCGACCCTACAGCGCTTTTGCCAGCTCCCTTGGAGTGTCAAACCTAAAAGAGGACTGGAAAGATGCACGTATTTGAACCTAACGAGATAATAACCAATAATCCCGATCATTGGTCTCCAGAACCCAATGCTAACCGCTTCAGTTAAGTCAATCAAGGCATTAGATCCTCATAGGAATGTTTGGATTTGCCACAACGAAGGAAAACCAAAAAACAACAATTTTCGGTTGATGACGTTTCGACTCTCTTGGAAGGCCTTTTTCAAGTCTGATACCGTGGAAGTTATCATCAATCAAGACATGTTCTATTGTATCCAATGGGTAAATATTAGGTTGAATGGCAGTTTTATGAGGGACTAACAAACACTGGCTAACCTAATAGTATTCATCACGAACAAATTACTTACGTCTGGGAGAAGAAGACCTAAACCAACAGGGACAGTCCCACTCAATGGTATTCTACACGTTATCCGATGTATCAAACAGATAAACAGTGAACACCAACGCCTCCCCATCGCCACCATTACGTCCGATAAAACTGAAGCACAGTCAGCTAACATAACAGCATATTAGCCTCCGAAAGCCTCAGCGTGGTCGGGGGTGGATGCCTCCGGTTGTGAATGAGCACCCTTCCCTTGCACCTCGCGAAATGCTCCTATATGCCAAGATCTCAAATAGCCTCTGCTGAGGAAGCCCTAGTCACTGCTTTCTCGTGATTGAGGTGTTTTTCTTTCTCAAGTGAGGACGAAAGGCCAAATTCAGGGGTTATAACTGGGTCAGTGAACGAATGGCAGTTTACTTAGGGCAGACGGCTGAAAACCCTGATTCCAAACCACCCAAGAAGAGGTGTCATTATCGTACAGTGAAATACAGTACGATGATGAAGAGGTGCACGAATCGCAAACACCCAAATCTTCCTGGTTGTGGCATTGGTCACCGGCTCAATTGGGCAGCGAGGTGTAATGAGCCCTTTGGACGATTGACCCCGTCCAAAGGGAGTTTGATCCGATAAACTGGATACCGCCCCCCCCCCTCCCGGACTGCGGACTCTAAGC